CCCCAAAACCCCAAAACCCCAAAACCCCAAAACCCCAAAACCCCAATCTCTTCATAAAATATTGAAACTACCTAGTCTTTCCTGGTACATTCTCTTAATACCCATTAACCACCAACAACCCCTCTTTCCAGCGCACTAAACCTCTCTACCTGCCCTTTAACCCCAAAACTTTACAGTATCCCTCCCACCCAAATTACACTCTCCTCACTCCAAATCCCTCCATTCCTTCCTCTCTCCCCATAAAATCCAAATCTCCATTTCCCAAAAACCTAAATTTACTAAAACTCAGGAAAAATAACGAATTTTTTAAAGAACCTTCTGGACTTTACAAGTTTTGGGTTAAAGAAGTTTCTGAAAATTTTAGGCGAACTGAGGATTTTGACAGCTGGTAGTAAGGCTTAGAAGGGGTTTGGTCTGTGAAGAGTGCGGTTATATTAAGTATGAAATTTATGCAATATTTTGTATGTTTAGAACCACCCATGATGATCCTTTAAAAACTACCAATAAATGGACTCATTCTGTTCTAATAAATGCTCAAGATTAGCAATAGGATTTCTGTTTCTTTACTTGCGTTTCAAGCTGCTATTCATACCATAATTTCAGCTCCCTTCATTGAGATATTTTCTACATCTTTTCATTTTATAACAAGAGATGTAATAAATGCTATGATTTGGATATTATCAATTTTTTTACTTTTTATAAACTGAGGAGTCACAATGGGGACAATTGATATAGGGATCATGATACAAAGATGCTCCTTGTTATATAAGTTCAAAATTCATAGTTGGAATTTATTAACACACTTTGTTAATAATTTGCTAGCTTGTTTCTTGAATGAATCCAAATAAAAAATCCCAAAAAATTTATTCCAATTACTTAATTTTCTCCAACAAAAAAGATCTACCACCGAATGGAGATTAAAAAGATACCAAAAATTTAGATATATGACGTAAATTGCTTAAAATCTCAAAGATGAGCTATAAACTTGACGATACTAATTTGAATTATGAATTGAGCCTAACTAACAAGAGAGTCATCCGAATTGAACTTAAATACCCATGACTTCCGAATCTAAGCCCATGAACTCCCCTTTTCCGAACCAAAATGCGTCAAATTTCTTAATAAAAGTCTATGTTTAACCCTCTGTTACATCTGACGGTGGTTTAAACCTTTTGTTCAACTGGGATCAAGTACATGAGTCTTGGCTTCTGAGAAGCTTGGTTAAGCAAGATCAACAAAGTCAATGGGATAAGGATAGAAGATATGTTCAAGATAAGGAAGGGGACTACCAAGAACCTCTCCTCTGGGTTTTCGCTAGTGAAAATGATCAGTAAGCTCACTACGAAGATCAGACCAAGCTCGAGGCTGCTCATTAAGTGAGCAAACCAATTGAAAAGGGCTGAGTTTGCCAATTTGTTGTCAAGTTGGTACAGCATACTTGGAAGCAAATCAAGAAATAACAATGGGACAGAAAACCCATAATCTGGAGTCCTCCAAATAACATAAGCAATTCCGAAGATCTCAATAGCAACCAGCACGAGGTTCACTTGCCTAACGAAGGCTATCCAGAGCGAGTCCTGTCTTTTTGGGGCTTGGATTTCCATTTTATTAACTATATCACAATCCAAAATAATTTTATCAATAAATATTTGGCAAATTGGGGTTTTGGGGTTTTGGGGTTTTGGGGTTTTGGGG